AAACCCCACCCCCACGTATGTACCCTCATGGGCTCACTTCATATACCCCACCCCATATACCCACCCCAAATCCGCCTCCATGGGTCACCCCCACATACCCACCCCCAAACCCACCCCCATGAGCTCACCCCATATTCCCACCCCCAAAACCCCACCCTGATGTGCTCACTTCAGTCCACCCACCCCACAGTGCTCACCCCGATGGGCTGAACCCCAATACACCCCCCTCAAAGTGCTCACCCCAATACACCCACCCCAAAGTGTTCATCCTGACATACCCACCCCGATGCACTTCCCCTAACAGACTCACCCCAAAATGCTCCCCCTTCTTATACCCACCCCAAGAGACCCACCCCAAGTGCTCACCCCTATACCCACCTTGACACAGTCACCCCGATACACCCACCCCATTATACCCACCCCAATATACCCACCCTGATGTGCTCACCCCATGAGCTCACCCCGGTCTATGCATCCTGATGGGCTCACCCTGATCACCTGCACCCCAATACACCCACCCCACTACACCTACCCCAGTGGCCTCACCCCAATATACTCACCCCAAAATGCTCACCCTCATACCCGCCTTGATACAGTCACCATGATATACCCACCTCATTACACCCACCCTGATGTGCTCACCCAAATAGCTGCACCCCAATATCCTCACCCCAGTTTACCCACCCCAATAGGTTCACCCCAATATATGCACCCCAATATGCTCACAGCCGTGTAGGTACCCCAGTATGCTCACCCTATAAACCCACCCTGATGAGCTTACCCCAACATACCCACCTTACGTACCCTAATGTGCTCACCCCCCTATGCACCCCAATTCTCCCACCCCAATGCTCCCACCCCAATATACCCACCTTAGGTACCCCAATATACTCACCCTGTATCCACCCCAATGTGCCCACCCCAATATACTCACCCCACGTACCCCAACATATCATCCCCCAAATATACCCCACTATACCCACCCCAGGACACCCACCCCTCTGTGCACCCCAATACACCCTCCCCAATGTACCCACCCCCTGTACCCCAGTGTTCTCACCCCCATACACACCCCAATACCCCCACCCCATGTGCCCCCATACTCTCACCCCCACGTACCCCCACCCCCCACCCCAAACACGCCCCGAGGCACCCCCATAACGGTGTCCCTGCCCCCACAGCTGCGCCCCCGGGTACCAGGGTGACCCCACGGTGCGCGGGCAGGGCTGTGTCCCCGCGGGCCCCCCGCCCGCCCTGGCCGTGCGGGTGCACCCCCCACGCACGGCGGTGCCGCGGGGCAGCGCCGTCACCCTGCGGTGCCAGGCCACGGGAGAACCCCCCCTCTACTACCACTGGGTACGGGAGGACGGCAGAGCCCTCCCCGAGGGCGCCCAGAGCCGCCGACAAGGTACGAGGGACGGGGACATCGGGGTGTCCCCCAAGGGGGGCGGGGGGGGTGTCAGCGCCAGCAAGGTATGGGGTAGCTCTGAGTGGCTCAGGGTGACATCAAGGGGTCCCCGAGGGGGGTGTGGGGTGCGCGGGGGTGTCACCTGCGTGTCCCCCAGGCGAGGAGCTGCACTTCCCCAGCATCCAGCCCTCGGAGGCCGGAGTGTACGTGTGCTCCTGCCGCAACCTCCGGCACAGCAACGCCAGCCGCGCCGAGGTCATCGTCACCGGTAGGGCGCTGGCACACGGCGGGGGGGAGGGCGTGGAGGGGGGGGCAGGGTGGGCTCAGCTGTCCCTGTGTGTGGGTGCAGAGACCCCCGACAAGCCCATCACGGTCACCGTGGAGGAGAAGCGGGTGCAGCGGGTACAGCCGGGCGCCGACGTCACCTTCGTCTGCACCGCCAAGAGCAAGGTGAGGGCAGGGAGCACAGGGATGTGCAGGGCGCGGGGACACCCTTGGGTGACCGTGGGGGCGTGCAGGGCACGAGAACCTCTCTGGATGCCCATGGGGACATCTCTGGGTGCCCACGAGGTCGTCCAGGTTAAGGTGACACCCCTGGGGGCCCATGGGGGGCACAGGGACACCTACCGTTACCTGTGGGGACATCCAGGGCATAGGGATACCTCCAGATGTGCATGGGGTTGTGCAGGGCGTGGGGACACCCTTGAGTGCCCACGGGGACACTCGGGACACAGGGACACCCCTGGGTGCCCCTACAGACCCCCCAAACACCCTTTGACTCCCATTTAGCTCTGTGGGCCACCCCTGGGTACCCCCCTCTCCCCGGTGTGTGCCCAGCTGGGCGTGTGCCCCCCTGGCACGCCCGTTCCCAAGGCCTCAGGCCTGCCCACGTGTCTCCCCGCCAGTCCCCTGCCTACACCCTGGTGTGGACGCGGCAGAACCACGGGACGCTGCCCGCGGGCGCCGTGGACTTCAACGGGATCCTGACGCTGCGCGGGGTGCGGCCCCAGGACGCCGGGGTCTACGTGTGCACCGGCTCCAACATGCTGGACATGGACCAGGGCACCGCCACACTCTACGTCCAGGGTCAGCCCCACATGCAGCCGTGGGCACGGGGGGCCCTGAGACCATGGGGATGGGGACATGTGGGTCCTGGCACCAGGTGGATGGACACCTGTGTGTCCTGATAACCACAGGGATGGGCACCAGGGGGTCCTGATACCATGGGGATGGGGACCCATGAGCTCTGGTGATGGGGGGTGGGCACCTGTGGGTCCTAATGCCATGGGAATGAGCACCTGTGGGTCCTGAGACCACAGGGGTGGGTACCTGTGGGTCCTGCAACAGGGTGCCCACAGGGATGGGCACCAGGGCGTTCTGATACCGTCGGGATGGGGACCTGTGAGTCCTGAGACCACGGGGATGGAGAGCTCTGGTGATGAGGGGTGGGCACCTGTGGGCCCTGGCACCCTGGGCAGGTTCAGTGCCCAGACCCTGGGGGGGTGGCAGGTTCAGTGCCCACACCCCGGGGCGATGGGCACACTCCCCTGACACCCCCACCCTCCTGCAGCCGCCTCGAAGACCCAGATGTTTTACGGCCCCGTGGAGTTCATGGAGGGGCACAGACCGGGTAAGTCACCTTGGGGGTCTCCCGGGGGGGGGGTCCACATGCTGCCCCACCCGCTGCATGCCGGGGCTCCACCGCTCACCCCGCTGCCAGCCGTGCCACGCCATCCCCGCTTCCCACCGCCCCACCAGCACCGGGGGGGGGGGGCCTGGCGAGCCCTGAGCCCCCCCTTCCCCCTCCCCCGGTGTCACCGCAGCCGGCACCGCCGCCGCCCCCACCGCCAGCGTGGAGCCGGCGCAGCTGAGCGTGGCACCGGGGCAGCCGGCAGAGTTCCGCTGCGTGGGCACCGGCAACCCCGCGCCCACCCTCGAGTGGCTCGGTAGGTGCCCGCAGGGGATGGGGGGGGGGACACTGTCACTGGGTGTGGGGACAAAGCTGGCGGGGGGATGACACCGGCTGTGCCCCCATAGGAGCGCTGCCGCCGCAGGCCGTGGTGCAGGGCGGGACGCTGCGGTTCGGCGCTGTGGAACCCGCCGACGAGGGGCACTATGAGTGCCGGGCACGCAGCAGCGCCGGGCAGCACACGGCGCGGGGGTACCTGCACGTGCAAGGTGAGCCGTGTCACCGTTGTCCCCATCGCCCCTGCTGTCCCCGTCATCACCATCGTCCGTCCCAGCGTCCCCAACATCTCCATCATCCCTGTCACCTCATCTTCTCCATCCCCAGCGTCTCCCTCATCCCCGTCCCCAGCATCTCCATCATCCGTGTCACCCCATCATCTTTGTCACCTCTATTGTCCCCATCGTCCTTGTCACCTCTCTTGCTCCCATCATCCCTGTCGCTTCCCATTGTCGCCACTGTCCATCTCCCTTGTCCCCATGGTCTGCATCATCCCTGTCATCCCCCTCATCCCCATCACCCTCATCATCCCTGTCGCCATTATCCCATGTCACCTCCCATTTTCCATCCCCCTCATTCCCATCATCCCTGTGACAATCATCTCTGTCACTCCCCATTATCCCCATCATCCCCTCTATCCCCCATCATCCTCCTCATCCCCATCATCTCATTGTCTCATAATTCCCACTGGCCTCATCATCCTCATCATCTCCATCATCCCCCTGACCCCATCATCCTCATCATCTTCATCATCCTCATCATCTCTGTCACCTCCATTGCCCTTATTGTCCCACCACCCCCATCATTCTTCATTGTCTACATCACTCGCCACCCCCACTGTCCCCACTGCTCCCGTTGTCCCCATCATCTCCATCATCCTATTGTCTCCATCATCCTCATCATCTCCATCATCTCTGTCACTGCCATTGTCCCCCATCGCTCCCATCACCCTCTTCATCCCACTTACCCCTTCATCCTCTTCATCAGCAGCACTCATGTCACCCCCATTGTCCCATTGTCCCCAGTGCCCCCATTGTCCCAAACACCTCCACTATCCTATTGGCCCCGTCATGCTCATTGTCCCATTGTCCAGGGACACCCCCATTATCCCCATGATCCTCATCATCTGCATCATTCATGTCACCCCATTATGCCTGTTATCCTCATTGCCC